CGTTTTCAACAAATACCCGCTTCCTAATTTTTTTAAAAAACCCGCTTTTACGTTTTCAAACGCCTATACTTCCGCGTACCCGCTTCGGGTTCCATGCTAGTTTAAAACAGAATATTTGTCAGATAATTAACTGAAAAAAAACAAATAAAATAATTAAACAACAAAGCATGACATGGCAAAGACGTGGTCTCCACCGCTCTTCAGAGAAGAAGACCACAACAGAATTTTTCAGCATTCTCGCCGGGAAAAAAAAAGACACCAGAGACGTCTTCTTCCTTCTCTGAGTCTCTGACCTATTTCTTCCTCATGTTAACGATGATCGAAACTCCAAATTAGGTTTCATCGAAATCCAATCTACCCTAAATCAGCCATTGAAATGGCTCACAAAGCTCTCTAACACTCACTCACCAAATTGTATTGCAAATGGGATCACAAACCGGTACGAAGCATTCGAAACCATCGATGAAACCTTCGAATGCTTCTTCTTCGTTCACCGTCAGATCCTCTTTCGCGATTTCGTCTCAATCAGCAATGGTGGAATTGAAGCAAAGGATCTTAACTTCTCTCTCTAGAATCGGTGATCGTGATACTTACCAGATCGCAGTCGAGGATTTAGAGAAAATCGTCGTCTCCGTCTCCGATTCACCAGAAATCCTTCCGGTGTTACTCCATTGTCTTTTCGATTCCTTTACTGATCCTAAAGCTCCGGTCAAGAGAGAATCAATTCGTCTCCTCTCTTTTCTTTGCCTCTCTTATTCCGATCTCACTTCTTCGCAGTTAGCGAAAATCATCTCGCACATCGTTAAGCGTCTCAAAGACGCCGATAACGGTGTACGCGACGCTTGTCGAGACGCGATTGGATCTCTCTCTGCGCAGTTTTTGACGGAGAAGGAGGAAGGGAATGGAAGTTCTTCTGGTGGGTCTTCGTTGGTGGGGATTTTTGCTAAGCCATTGTTTGAAGCAATGGTTGAACAGAACAAAAGCTTACAATCTGGTGCTGCGATTTGTATGGGGAAGATGATTGATTCAGCATTGGAACCTCCTGTTGCAGCTTTTCAAAAGCTTTGCCCTAGAATTGCAAAGCTTTTGAATAGCCCCAATTACATTACTAAAGCTTCTCTCTTACCTGTAATTGGAAGCTTGTCTCAGGTTTGTGCAATGTGGTTCTAACAAAATGTACAATGCCTTAACTTTTGTTTCTTAGATTGAGATTCATTGCTTGAATGTTCAGCTGCATTTTTGTTTGTGTTTCGTCTCTACATTTGGCTAATGGTGTTTCAATGCTAAGAAGTGTATAGCTTCTCTGTGTGAAGGGATATGTTCAAATTCTGGAATCTTGATGTATGTAATCTAGAAATGTTTTTGTCTATCTCTGATCTGCTTGGTGGTCGAATCTACTGGGTTTTCTGAGATATGAAATTCTTGCAGGTTGGAGCTATTGCACCCCAGAGCTTGGATTCATTGCTACACAGTATTCATGAGTGCCTTGGATGTACGGATTGGGTTACTCGTAAGGCAGCGGCTGATGCCTTAATATCCTTAGCTGTCCATTCTAGCAATTTGGTTGTGGACAAAACAGATTCCACTATTACAGCTCTTGAGGCCTGTCGTTTTGATAAGGTACTCAAATTTCATTTATATTCAGTAGAACTATGCTCTTGATCTTACAGTCGCATGAATCTCTTCAAAGAAATGCTTCTCTGACTGGAATCACATTGTTACTTTTTGCTACATTTTGCTTTTGCATAGTTCCGAAAAGCAGCTATATTTGATTTGGCTTGCAGATAAAACCTGTTAGAGAGAGCTTGTCTGAAGCACTGAATGCCTGGAAGAACATTGCTGGAACGTCTGATGACCAGAAGGATTGCTCATCTGAGCAATGTATGTTGGAAAGCAATGGAGAAACCGATTCAATTGCATGTGAGAGAGCAGGACCGGTGATGCAAGGCTCTTCTGATGGTTTGAGCAGTAATTCAGATTCCATTTCAAAAGCAGTTCTCATTTTGAGGAAGAAAGCTCCTCGCTTGACTGGCAAAGATCTTAACCCAGAATTTTTTCAGAAACTGGAAAAAAGAGGTTCTGGTGATATGCCTGTTGAAGTTATTCTTCCCTGTAGGCAAAAGAATTCGTCGAACTCAAACACAGAGGACGATTCAGACACCAATACTTCAGTATCGAGGAGCAGGTGCAGAATAGCTGGTGTCCATCCGAAACAAAGACATTTTGGAGATTTCGCAAGAGAAAAATGGGCAGATGAAAGAATGAACGGAGGCAAATCATGGTTAAGAGCATTTGATGGAGATCAGACCGACGTAAATCAGGTGGAAGCATCTGAAAACAGAGGAAATTGGCCACCTTTACAGAGACAGTTATTGCAGTTGGAGAGACAACAAACCCACATAATGAACATGTTGCAGGTACTGTTCCGATTTCAAACTCAATATAATGATTCGCTTTGAAGCAGTTTCACTCTTAAAAGGTAACATTACCCCATTATTGCAGGATTTCATGGGTGGTTCACACGACGGCATGATAAGTTTGGAGAACCGTGTTGTAGGTCTTGAGAGGATCGTAGAAGAGATGTCAAGAGAAATGTCTAAACAATCAGGCAAGTATAAGTTACTGCTTGATTTGCACGGTTAAAAAACTGCAACTTGTTGCATCCATTTGAAGAAAGATATTTACTAATTCCCAATTGGCTTCAGGTGCGAGGGGAAAGGCAGCTGCATCATGGAGGTCTGATGTTGTAGATGGATGGGATAGTCCTAACTATGGAGTTTCTTCGGGAAACACTCAGGTCAGTACAAGAAGGACACGTGGCACTCCTGAGCACTCAAGTAACAGCAGAAGAGCTTGGGACAAAAGCTCTGCACCTATTAGACTAGGTGAAGGACCTTCAGCTCGAAGCGTATGGCAAGCTTCAAAAGATGAAGCTACTCTCGAAGCAATACGTATAGCTGGAGAAGACTGTGGAGTACCGTCAAGGACAAGACGAGTATCTATTCCCCAAGCAGAAGCAATAATGGACGAAGATGATGATTTCCGCGGAGGACAAGAGCGAGACCTTGTCTGGACTTGTTGGAGCAATGCGATGCACGCAGTCCGAGTTGGTGATACCGATTCTGCATTTGCTGAGGTATTATCAACCGGAGATGAAATTTTGCTTGTCAAGTTAATGGACAAAACCGGTCCTGTTCTTGATCAACTCTCGAGTGATATCGCAAACGAGGTTCTCCACTCTATTGCACAGTTTCTCCTGGATCATACTCTGTTTGATATCTGTCTATCTTGGATTCAACAGGTAACAACATTCTTCTTTTTTAACCTTAAACCTCCTTTGAATTAGCTTGATAGTAATTCCTCTGTTTGTATATTTTCCAGTTGCTAGAAGTAAGTGTAGAAAACGGAGCAGACTTCATGGGAATGCCAATGGAGTTAAAGAAGGAACTTCTGTTGAACCTACATGAAGCTTCTTCGACAACAGATCCTCCCGAGGATTGGGAAGGTCTAGCTCCCGACCATCTTTTGATCGAATTAGCATCTAACTGGACCATCGAACTCCAACATTTCGACCCGTAAGATCTCTGAACAAACATTACACTGTACATATATGATTCTTTCACTTGTGAATCACTAAAACAACATTCTTCTTCGTTGGATATATGATTCTTTTGATTCAATGAAAGCTACTATATACATCTGATCAGAAACAGAAAATTATAAAGTTGCATAAATTAAGTATCATTTT